AACAATTCAAGTTATTGTATGTATGAATTGAATTGTTAATGCATTCTTTAATATATTAATTGACCCAGACAAAGAAAGAGAATCATGTCATTGACCCACAAACCAAAAACAAGAAAAAGCTTAAAATTATTTACCACCTGAAGAGGAATCGCTAGGGTTCATGTTGAGGTAGTTACTCAGGTAGGGAGATATAACCATGTCCACTAGCCTCTCGAGCCGGAAATACTCTTGCGTAGGTCGATTAGGTTCATGAATGCCCTGCCCCAAAAAAAGAACATCATGAAAATAAGGATCCAAAACAAAGAGCCGACAATCACTGCTGGTAGATGAATAGTTAAATATCTGGGTTCAATCCCAAGACAGCTGACAAGTGGGAGTAAATGAGAAATGGATGACGCATCAGTGTGCTTCATCACCATTATGCCCTTAAGCATGACACTGTATCCCTGCGGTACTCAGCCTTGTTCTGGAACAAAGCTGACAAATTTCTTTTGTATGGAGGAGCCGTATTTGAAAAACGAATGCTGGGTCAAGGTGCTTGGTTTCATGGAGGCTCTTCAAATCTCATCTGAGATTACAGCAGCACAAAGCAGATCCGTATATGTTCCCACACCAGCACTCAGGGAATACTCTCCTAACGTTCATTTATCTTCTTCATATTCTCACCTGTGCATTAACAATATTTTGCATATGTTTGCATAACATTTATGTCTCAGTGGTTGATTTTTATTAAAATAGACAACTTTTTTCTTGTGTTATTTTAGTATTATTCAATTCATATTGTATTTTTTTGTTTTGAATTTTTTTTATTTTCAGATTTAATTGTAATTTTTAGTTTGTTATGTGCTTTTTAGTTTGTTATGTGCTTGTCATTTAAAAAAAAATTTCACAAAATATTTATATTTAGCTTTAATTAATTAATTAATTAAAATTTAGTTAGTTTAGCAGTTCAACTTATTTTATATCAATAAGTTGCCAAGGCAAAATTTGTAATTTTCAAGTTTCATTTTTCATCTAATA